TTTTGCCCTCAGCTATCTACAACACTATTCTGTGGTCTGCTCAGACTTGATGTTGTGTGAAGTTGAAAGCCAGAGGAGCCAATTAGAGCTCACAAAAACAATCCAGGTCCCCTTTTATTTATTCTCCACATCAACCAATATCCAGCTTCTTCACTCAGCACCTGCCTCATTAAGAAACACATTCAGATATGATGGTATATTTTATAATACTGGAGGGTGAGTTTTTACTTCTGAACTTTTTTGTTGGCTCTTGATTGTCCACAGTCTCATGGAGGTCCACAGCCTTACATCCCAAAAGAAACAGGAAGGTGTGAGTGGTGTCAAAGGTGGCTAATCGGTTCTGAGGAGACAATTTTCAGGTTTAATAACTCTTTAGTGCTAACTGAGGGAGCTGTGATGGAACTACTGGCTTCTGGATCACAGTTATTATACAAAGCCATCAACGGGTGTCACAATAGTCTTTATTCCTGGGCTTTTCAGTTGTTGTTGATCCAGAAATGTCTTCTTTTATATTGACAGGGAAAAAGCATCTACATGCTGCTTTTTTACGTGGCTGAAAGACTATCGCCAAACTAGTGCAAATGCCATGTTTCGAAAACTTAAAACCAGCTTCATTATTTGGCTTATACACCTATTTGTTTTCTTCTTGAGACTTAGATGAGAGGATTGATACCATACATGCCTATACAGTACACACAGTCAATGTAATACTATGAAAAGAAAGCAGTTAGCTTAGCTTACCAATCTCTTTTGCTAACTCTTAACAAACATGTACATGCATTTTGTGGTCTCATTTTTGCCTCAAGAGAATCGTTAAAAGGCTATTACAAAAGCCCCTCTCAAGTGTTTGGTTTGGTGTCCATTCTGGGCTTCTGTAGAAACATAATGGTGCAACAAGGTGGAATACAGCATCGAGGTTTCTCTTTCTTTTTGTGTAGAGCTCTTCCTAGGCTAATGAGTAGTATTTATATCCGGGTGATGCACTAATGAAAACATACTTATGAATATTCTATTTGACTACTAACAACTCTAATAGTTACAATGATTGGACACATTGGACCTATAAACGCTTTCTAGTGTTTTGTTGATCAGATTAAAACAATTGGAAAAAAACGAGTTACATACAGTATATTGCGTCATGGTTGGAATGGTGTCTGGATCTATTTTCTTTCCATATGTGACCTCTTCGCGCTGGGTCAGTCTATCTCTCACATGTTCACAGCTTTATTAGGTCGGCCCATCTCTCACATGTTCACAGCTTTACGTCTGATAACGGTTTCTGTAAGCTGCGCTTTTGTGTGTGCTTGGAATGAAGAAAGGATGTGAGGCGCTGGATTTCTCTGCGGGATTTTTTTCATCTGATCTGAGCCGCTCACAGCATTCCCACATTTACCCTCATGAGCGAATAAAACAAACTCCGACTGCTCGCTCACCCTTGCAGCTCTCTGTCCAGCAATCAGCGCGGGAGCGAACATGAACAGCGGTGGAAAATGAGAGAAACCGCCCGGCATCTTCATGAGGGATATCAGGTCAATCAAGCCCTCGGTAGGCGAGGCGTTCAGGGGCCCGAGGCTAAACACTGTAGTGTGGAGCTCAATAAGCGCCTGTTGGCCTCAGGGGCAGCTTACTAAATGAAAGAGGATATTGGGGAGATTGTTTAGTATTATCATCGTTCATCATCACTCCTCGGTCGGCCGTAACAACATGGTGCTTGGTTATTTCTCTCCCCATGTGGAAGACAAGCAGCTGCCACTGATAAAGATGTATGAGCTGATTGGAGAGACTGAAAATGGGGAACAAATTGTGTTTTTTAATGGAAGAGAAAGGGAAGAAGATGGATTTGTTACTGCAAAAAAAGCTTTTTAGTGAGTTGTTTTCTCACATTGCCATCCAACGTCTATTTACAGTGTTAGTCAATGGATTAGTTGTGGTTCTTCTTTGATGGTGGAGGCAAAATAAGGACTTTGGGTAAATAAAACAAACTGGGGAAAGGGGAAAAAATGGTTTGGTTATGCCTGGACACCCTTGAGGCAGAAGCAGAAGAAGAAGATTTTGGAGGATTAAGCTGAACTCAATCCTATACCATCAAAATAATATTTTTTCAGTTTCCATGTTAAAAATGCAAAGAAAGTCTCCAAAATCTCCAGTGCAAATGTAGCTATTTACCAGCTATAGCATACTCACAAGGTATTTCGAGGGCGGCAGCAATTTCTCTCCACCTTTTGTCCTTCTCCACTATCGCAGTAGAAATGGTAGGACACATAAAAGTGGTACTCTCTCTCCACAGCTCCACCAGTTTCTCCTCCTTCTCCACAGTCCAGGAGAACAACATCTTCCTTCCCCTCACCGCCATTTTTACTGGTTTACAGCTCCCTGTTTGGTGCCGGTGAGACCGCTCCCTTTGATTGTTGACCACGGTCATGTCATGGTCACAATTTGCATATGACAAGACTAAAGACCTGTGTAAAATATTAAACATGTTTAAGTTTATGGTAACACCAAGATAGGACAGTGGATATAGTTGAAAATCAGGGAGAGAGAGAGAGAGAGAGAGAGTGGGGAATCACATGTGGGAAAGGAGTTACAGGTCAGATTTGAACCTGGGCGGTCCACTCAGAGGACTATATATGCCTCGGTACATGGGGTGCGCACACTAACCACTGTTCCACCAGCACGCCGCTCGGATTGAGTTTTAAGACCACCTTACACCAAACGTCCGAGATCACAGGAGTGTGCCGTGACTCCAGCAAAACTCTCCTATTTTTATTCAGACTTTGGAAATTTATCTGTGACTTTGACTTGCTTGAAATGTTGTTTGGTGTAAGGTTAGCATTAAGCTAATTCCCCTTGACAGGCACAAACTTTTATCTTTTTGACTTCTTATTTAGTTATGTGAGGAAAAAAAAGACTTTTCAAATAAAAAAGAGTTAACGTTTTGAGAAATAAACAATCTATAACTACAATAACATAGAAAACAAAGAGAAGAATTTTCCCCAAAACTGATTCATACCGGACCTTTGAGATGTCACGTCTGTTTGTGATGATGTCAGACTTTGAACTGGAGGAAGAATGACATCATGACAGAGAAGGACCCCACAGTCATTGACATCATCATGTCCCTGAGTGATGTCACTGGAGCGAGGTCATACGGTCATTCTTTGCTGCGCTTTAAATAGCCCGCTGTCTTCCTTATCTCTCCTCCCCCCCTCCCCCCCCTTCCCCCGTTACTCACGACATCCTGTCATTCTTTCCTCCGCTCATTTGTCCCCTTTGCCTTCTATCCTCAACATTTTTTTCCCTCCAATCGCTTGACAATACAGCAGCAGCTTATCTCACTCTCTCGCTCTCTCTTTCTCTCTCTCCCCCTCTATTTGTCCCTCTCTTTTTCTTTAACTCCCCCCCCTCTTTTCTCCCACGTCTTTTAGCAAAGGGTGGGGGGGGATTTGTAAAGCGGGGGTTCTGTACGGTTACATTGCAGGCTCTTTGCTAGATTAATTTGCTGGGGCTGTGGCCTGCGTGGCACTGCTTACTGTACGCAGTGAAAGTCACTCAGGGATTAACGGCAGGCAGAAAAGCAACGGCCCCCACCCACTTGCTGCCTCTGCAGAAACAGACCCCCCCACCCCCCCACCCTCCTTCTCCTCCTACATCTCCCTCCCTCCCAAACCTAACCTCCATCTCTCTTTCCTCTCTCACTCAAAACCACTTTCTCCAGCTCTCAAACCTCGTTCTCTATCCCAACCCTCTTTCTTTCCTCCCTTTTCCATCCCATCAACCCCCTCTCCAGTTAATTACTGTAATGGGCCAGCTGTCCTTGGGGGGTAGTTGGAGGGCAGGGGGTGGAGATGCTGTACGGTTCAGCTCTGTCATGCTTCTTACCTCCAACACTGACACACAAATAACTGTACACTGTTCCAAAGATTCAGACACATGGTCATAGTTACTGTAGACCTATTCATAGTAACCCATACGAGATAGAAAAAAAGCGCCAGATGGCCTAGAGGTTATGTCGCACGTCCCATGTACAGTGGCTATAGTCCTTCTCTCAGCCACATGTCATCCCTCACTCTCCACTCCCAACATTTCCAGTCTCTCTTCAGCTGTCCTATCCAATGAAGGCAAGAATGGCCAAACTAATATCTTTTTTAAAAAACACACACACACACACACACACACACACACACACACACACACACACACACACACACACACACACACACGAAACCCTGTTATTGACTTGTTTTTCTGGCCACAAGGGGGCAGCAGAGAACATTCGATCATAAAATTCACATCACCAACTGAGTTGATATTGTGAACTATGCTGTTAGCAAACAGTGGCTATAGTTATAGTTAACACATACATCAGATAGAGAGCGACATTATCACTCATGTTTGAGGCCATGGGAACACAAATTCTAAAAAAAAAAAAAAAAAAGATCTGGTTGTGATATCTAATCGATTCTCAAGGAAATATCCGCCTCTGCAGCTGCTCAATGTTCCACGGTGTTCACCAGCTAGCTGCCATCATGTGCTGAGCAGGTGGCTACTGTACGGTGAGGTTTGTATGCCTTTTTTACTGCCAATAAAGAAATTTAAATATTTGCATATAACCCTTTTTTTTTTTTTCATCGAGAATTTTTGTTCTGTAATTGTAAATGTGTCCCTTTGAGTGCCTGGAGTAGCCTATTATATAATAATAATAATAATAAGAAGAAGAATAATAATAATAAAGGAACAGTGGTAACAGTCAAAGTTAATCGCTTAGTGCTTGTTTATCAGAGTATTTCTAAGTCTTGGTAAAAGATGTTTTTTTATTTTTATTTTGTTTAATACAATTAAAAACTGTTTTTAAAAACTGACATTTGTCTCACATTTTATAAAAGTGTTCCACACTTTGTTATTTTGCTTTGCACGTCCCAGCCAGCGTAGTCTGAAGTGAAAGGGGGTGTGTATTTCTTGAACTTAAAGAATGAAAGTGAAAGTACTGTTCCACTTCCTGTGTAAACTGCACTGCGCGAAGAGCTCAGCAGAAACTCACAAACTGAACAATATGGCTGTAGGGGTTCGTGTGTGCGGTCCGAGAGGAGAACGATGGTTTTTCCACCTGTGTGACACTGAGGAGCAGTTGAAGAGCATCACAGTGCTGCAACTGAAACAGAAGATAGCTGAGAAAATAGATGACCCTTTGGCCAGAGGTAAAATCACATTGTATTACGGGCCTGCATGCTGCCTAAATGTGTTCATGGTTGGAGAGGCGTGAGGGTTATTACAGTATACAGTATGTGACCGTTGCTAACTCGTTCTCTGACCATTAAGGATAGAAAACCGAAGTGCTACTAGAGAATGAGACTCAGATGTTGTGGTAGCTGACAAAACTATTTGATGCTAAGATGCTAAGTTAACATATGGCATGTAGTGAATATGTTTTTGGATAGTGAAAAAACAAACTGAGGAACTCTAAAACTCTTTTGAGGACTTTTATCTGGTATGACACAACGGAAATTAATATTGATGCCTTTCTCTTCATGGCCTAAAAAAGCTGACAAGACCATCAAAAATATAGATTATTTCTATATCGTTTTTTTTTTTTGTATATCTGAAACTGCTGCCAGGTGGCCTCTTTTTTCCTCTTTTATTGAAATGTTTTCTGTTTGTGGAAAAGCAAACAACAACCCTTGCTCCGATGCTCGGACTGCCCCAAAATAAAAGTGTTTTTGACTGACACTGAACTATAGCGAACAAGTTAGGTACAGTAAACACAGGCCAAGATACCTGCTGATTTGTGCAAACGTTTGACACAAACACTACAAAAAAAAAGTCACACCGTTAAAGTCCGCTGAACTTTTCACAAACAGCTAACGATTTTAAAGCATTTTTTGAAGCTTGCTGTCTTCTCTCTGTCTTTAAAACGACAATCGCTATAAGATAAACTCAAATTACACAATCAAAAGTCCACGGGTTATTGTGTTGATGTTTTTAACAGTATGCTTTCTTTGTCACTGGACAGTCACAGGGGATGAAAACAAGTACACGTGTTTATTTCTGCTGGAAAGTAATGCATTTTAATATTGGGACGAATAGGGATCAAATCAAATTACAATGATATCTTTGTTTCTTTGTTTTGAGAGAAATAAGGTCTGATTTTGACTCCCACATTGTGTCTTTGTGTCCATGTTGTTTTTTCCTGTGTAGGCCGTCCAGACGGATTCAGGCTGACCTTTAAAGACGAAGTGCTGGTGGACAATAAACTGCTTTCTGACTATGGGATTGTAAACATGTCAGTGGTTATGGTTATTTTAAGATTAGTGGGAGGGGGAGGGGGAGGGCCACACACTTGGAAGGGAGATGATGCAATGGGTGACAAAGACAAAAACCGGAGCATGGAAAAACTGGCTTCGTTTTAAACCACGGTCATGGCTGACAGAACTCAAAAAAAGGTGTGTTAAAAGAAAGCCGTTTTCTTTCCTTTACAATTTATTGTGTAACCATTGAGTTTTTTAAGTATTCAAACTGATAATAAACAATAATAAAATATTAATAACTGTTAAAGAATAGTCTGTTTGTTATTGTGTTTGTTCCCTCCTTCGAGACCAAAAGATGAAAATTCAGCAGCTAACACACTTGATTTCAAGCTTAAAAACAGGTTGTTAGACTATACCATCTTCTGTTCAGGATCATTAAATAATATGAACACTGATTTTGACTTTTTAGCACTTTATATGTTGCTGTAATGAAAAAAATATATACAGTATATATACTGCATTCAAAATGAGCTTCTTTACCCCCCTAACGATGTCGTCGTTGAAGTGATACCACCCCTGAGTTTCAAAGGATTTGATTTGTGCCGTGTTATGTGAGGTCACCAAAGCGGTCCATTATATACAACGCTTTAATGAGATTATCGGCCTTTATATCAATGCTATGTGTATTTCAACGGAATCACACTATCAACAAAGAGCGGAGAAGAACATACTGATGGACAGAAAACGTAATGCAGCACTTAGAGTACGTGCACTGATTGGCCCTTTACACAGGATATAAATGTCACCACCCTCTTCCATTGGCTCGAGGTGAATTCTCTGGAGAATATCCTGCTGCGTTCTAACATCAGCTTACTTGGACTTGCTGCAGAGAAAATATAAGGGGTCTGGCAGGAGAAACATCAGGTAACGTCCAAGTTAAAATAATGTGCCCATTAGTGTTCACACATACAGCTCCTCTAGCGAATATCAGGAGTTTTTCATGAGTTTTCTGCAAGTGTAAAAGCAAGGTACTTTTCTGAATGTCAATACTTTGAATGCCCGCATTGCCAAAATTTTAAAAAAAAAAACACCGCACCAGGACTCAAATGGTGACCCTCCGGTTCAAGTCCCTAAAGACTGTGTTGCCGCCACTGAAAATGACTGCTATAGGATAGTATAGTGTAAATTCTTACTAGGATTCCCTCACTTATTAGGCTAGTGAGTTTCTTTTTGACTAGAAAAAATAATTTTTTAAAAGTAGGCAAAAGAAAGAGAAATGGAAACAGTAAACGGACTAGAGTGGGAACAGAGAGCATGTTTCGAGACAGTAAAAGACTTAAAAGGCATGATGGAGATTGATTTGTCGAGGTCGATGGAGCAATATACCCAAAGTGTCTACGCGCAGAGGGGGAGGATCTGGGGTTTTTGTGTGGGAACTTATTGGCCCAGTTTGAGGATCAGTCAGCTGAAACACTTTGGCTGAAGCTGACAGCTGTTTGAGAAATGCCAAATGGTGCTGGCAGAATTCAAGCACACACACACACACACACACACACACACACACACACACATTTACTTTCCTCTCCACACATGCAAACTCTCAGATCACACTTAAATATGAGCAGATAGAGTCACAAACAAAAAGTCGATGGGAATATTTGCGAGTGTGTTCAGTGCACGTAAGCAAACCTACTAAAATCCCCCGACACACACGCAGGATAGTCAACACTGCCAACTGCAGACGAGGCAGCATATGTCTGTGCTTATAAGAGACACTAAGCGGACATGACTTTCCTCAATCAAGCCTGTTAACTTGATCATCCGTCTGGCTGACTTAAGGAGGACATTAACCCTTCAGTGTTCAGTGTCGGGACAATTATGGCTTTAAAGCTAGAATCCAAAGTTAAAGTATTTCTCAATAAAGCACCATGAATTCAGTTTGTTTGCCCACGCTGCTTAAACACATAGGAGGGTAATGATGGGAGTCTCTTTTTTTGGAGTGGTTCCATTTACAACTGAGAGAGACTTGGCCAGGAGGAGGGTGTTTAATCGAGAGATTCAGGGGGTTCACAGAGTGCGCCGGCGAGATGTAATGGGAACACTTCTAGAGGCTGCTGGGTTCATTTCTTTTTTTTTTAGAAATCTCTGTAATTTCACCTGTTCAAAACTATAAATGACACAAGGCTGTGACACTCGAGAGATATTCTTTATTTAAAGGTGCACGACTGTATGTGGGTTTGGTAGTGAAATTTGAAAGTTGGAGAAGTGAAACAATTATATGCTTTATTTTCTAAACTAAATGCACAAACTGTATTCAAATAAAATAATGGGTCCCTGGAACGCTGTTTGGAGGTAAAAAAAAAAGCTACCAGGAGAGATACACTTTCACTTTTACAGGCCCACCTCCATGAGTTCTCACTGAGCATTTTATCTTCAAACAGTGTTCCAGGGCTACATTTTCCTCTGAAGACAGTTTGTGTACAGAGTTATGAACATATACCACAGAATCTGTAGACTTCTCCAACTTTCACATTTCTCTCCCAAATCCATAGTGCACCTTTAAAGGAAGAATATGCGATTTTTCACACTTAAATGTAGAAATCAAATATATGAAGAAAAGAAGAATAACAAACTGTACTCACTGCTTATTTGAATGTCAGGTAAGCATTTTTAGATCATGGTCATTTCGTATAAATTTACATGCAGTGTGAAGATATGAGCGAACTAAAGATCGCTAGCATTAGCATGCTAACACAACAATGCAGCGCAAGTTGTTTTGGTTTCATGCTGTTGCTCAAGGGCGACATCTGCTGGATCAAAAAAAATTGCATATTCTTCCTTTAAGTGATCCTTTGGTTGTCGCCTCATTGGGTTGTCCTTTAGGGAAACGGGTGAATCCTGTCAAAAACTGTCAATTTTAAATCAGTAGGTCAGCTAACAGAGAACGAAGCGTTTCAAACATAAACGGAGAGTTGGAGATGAACCTCCGAACAGCGACGGAGCCGGACACACCGCAAAAACTAGGACCGACGACCGCTCACCGACAGGCCAACTAGCTAACGAACGTGTGTCAGGGAATTAAAGCTCAGAAAAATATCCATTCGATCAAGCTTCTTAAAAAGTCTTTTGGAGCTTTAAAAGGAATGACTTGTGTATAGAATAAACCTACTTAAGAACACTGACTGGAGAAAAGGTGACTGAAGAGATAGTGAAGTACATGAAGTGACATTAAACAAGTCGCTGCTGTTATTTTTGCTGATGTTGCGAGTTTAGAGGCCAAAATGTAGTTCAATAATGGATACATATTTTTCCATTTTAATTTTGCATTAAGACACAGGAATAGCATTGTATGATTCACTTTTTGGGATATAAAAAACAAAAGTATGCCATCATCATTATAGCGTATGTCAACACGCGCTCACATTCACAAACCGAGTCAAGGGGTTAGAAGGATGTGGTGGTTTTGACCTTCAGATGACACCATATGCTTCATTTCTTCCTTCAGTGTTTACTCATGAGTGTCAGGCTAGACGTGCGCTCGTGTGTGTGCAGTGTGTGTGTGTGTGTGTGTGTTTATAGATTTTCTGTTTCTGTCTGTCAAAAATTTAAAGGCCTATGCATGGCTTTGATGCATTAAAGAGAAGAGAAATGACAGCTAAGGGATTTGGCAGAGAAAGGAATGGGAACACAAACACACAAACACACAGAAAAATATATGTATGGAAATGTGGACAGAGTTGTATAATCGTCAGGAGGAGAGAGAGAGAGAGAGACCTTACAGCACTCTCAAATTGCTCTAGTGCCCCTGCTTATTAAGATGATTATGATGTGAATATTTACTGTTACTGCTACTAGCTTGCTGCGCGGTAGCCTGCAGCTATTAACATCTCAACTGAGGCATTTAGTCCCACAAACAAACACATCTGTTCTAACCGCCTTCCACGTTTTACATCTATTACTTAACCCATACTGTATATGCATGAAGCAAATTACCAACACCATACACACTACAGTAAGACATTTATTTATGCCCAAAAGCATAAAATCATTTAATTTAGCCTCTACCATACTCCTTTGATTAGCTTCCATGCTAACATGTTGTAGGCTAGCTAGAAATAAGTTGGCTCTGGCACTCACACTACCATTTCAAAAACAGTCAAAGAAGTTTATTTTGGAATTAATTAGCATTAGCTTGGTATATCTGACGCTGAGCACAGCCAGGCTAGTAGTATCAATCTTTTCATCTTACTTTGCAAAAGGCATAGATTCTGAAATACCACTATTTTCCTTTAATCCTGTCTGTATAAAATACCATTTATGTTGTGTATTCACGTTGTGATTCTGATACTGCTACCTCTGTCCTCTTCTTGTCAACGAAAGGCATTTTATAAATGACTTCAATTCTCCACTGAAAATCACATTGACTTCACTCTAGATTCAAGAGACAGAACAAGTGTCAGTGGTGGCCAAAGGTTGGTGAAATATGAATACATTAGCTAGGAGTTCATTTAGATGCAGCTCGCTGAGCAAATCCACTGATTAGAGTTTTGTTACAACAAGAACTCTATGCTCTTGTTTTATTTGTTTTGAAAATTAATGCACTTTTTGCAAAAGGTTTAAAATCTATAGACTCAAGGTTGTACACGGCTCACAGATATGACCTGTTCTGGTGCAGACAAAACAGTTACTTGTTACCAAACGATGAATTTGTCATTCCATTTTGCAACCGCTGCGCTGAGCGCTGGCTAAAGGGGTAAAGGTCAGAAGCCAGGGAGAGGTCAGCCAACCAGGCAGACTGTCGGCTCCCAGTGGAGAGACTCTAACAAGATGCTCATGTAATGTAAATGGCTGTATGAAACAGAGTGGCAGATGCAGCACAGGGTTTTTTTTCCTGGTCAGCTGCATGGTACTAAAATAAGCCGCTCGTCTTCACCAAAGGGCAAGGGTGGCCATTCTGCGGATGACATGACGACCTTTGTGGAACGCAAAGTAGGTCATCTTAAATTAAGGGGAGGAATAAAGAATTTCATTTTTTTCCCGTGTGTGTTTATAGTCACTACCAGTCAATAGTTTGGACACACAACAGTAACCGTTTGATCAATATTACTGTATACTATATTATTATAGCTACTGTAAGCTGTATCTAGGGCACACCTACTAATAGAAGTTTTATTTTTTATTTTTACTGTTTTTCACATATAATATTAGTAGATACAAATAAAACATTTCAATTCATTTTTGTTTTGGAAAGAAATGCATACATACTTAGGCATCAACTTCACTTTGTCTTTTTGAAATAC